ACACATCACTGTCTTTAGATGCCTGCATCTTCTTTAACAAATCAAAGTTATGAACCAACAGTAATCAGTTCTGCTGTGTATTCCCATATGACTGTTGGAAAACAAATGTAATAAGACCAAGTCTGTTGTTTAAGTGTTATAGTGCTTAGTCACTCATTTCTTTAGTAAAGCTGAGTTATCGTTTTGTATCAAAAGCAGAATATTAGTTTCTCAGACAAGCTGAGACAATTATTTGATTTAGATTTTTACGCTGAACATTCATTCTTGGAGTTCTGCTATTACTATAAGTCTGTCCTTAAGTTTATGCATAAAATAACAGATAATGTAAATGGGAACATGAGATTATGATTTTCCACAACTCTAACTTCAGAGAGATTTGAAGACCCTGTCATTATGGAAACACAGGAAGAAAGCAAAGGCAGAAGGTTGGGTGCTTTTTTTCTGCTATGAATGTATACGGTCCTTGTGCAGTGATGCTCATGTATGCTTTTCAAGTTCTCAGAGGATCCTTTGTATTATAATAACTTTTGCTAGAATTATCATCCCATCATTCTTGACCCGCTTATTCTTCTAAAACCTCACATTCATGAGTAATTTATGAATATAGTAACCATTTTCAAAGCTAGAAAAGTCTTTCTGTGGTTAAAAATAACTACAACTGAATGACCGAGATGGAATTTTTTAAGAATTATTCATATTAATTTGGACATCTGTTTTCAGATAGATTAGCTACAACAGGAGAACATTATAGAACCAGGACTTAACATTATCAATCAGCCAGCCAGGAAAACTGGGAGGAACATCCAGTGTGTAGTCACTAAGGTGGCTTGATAAGGAGGTATGTCCCTTATGGAGGAACCTCCTGGTTTTCTGTACCATAAGGTCTATGAATGTGCATCCAGCTAACAGTCCTCTGGCTATAGCTGACCTTCCTCATAACATCTGAAAACCCAAATCCTTTTCTCTCACATCTCTGCTCATACTACCTAAATACCATCTTATGTATTTAGAGAATGTTATGTGCCTAGAATCCTTGTTTTCTTCTTTTTCTTTAGAGGGGAGAAAGGTGGGTCTGGAAGCCATGCATTCAGAGTTGAACACAAACTGGTAGTTGAATAGCATGGGTGGGCAGTACAGTGCATCAGACACTTGAAAACCTACAGGGTTAACCAATGCTGAACCTAAGCAAGAAACCCAAGAAACTTAAGTAATCCAATTTTGCCTTATTCCACCCCTTAGTGCCAACTGATAAAGACTTCATTCCAGAAGAGATAGGATATGGAAGAAGATGCCCTTTTCCTTTTTTTACCAATCTCACTTGCTCCTCAGCAAAACATCTTCCTGTGACCACCGAAATCCTTGTTTCCAAATTTCTGATTCTGATTGTACTTTTGCCTCCAACGGGACAGCAGGTTATTACCTGCACTACCTGCAACCACCATCTGACTATCTTGTGCAGAATAAAAAGCCATGATTATCAAAGGTTTTCATAGCTGCTGCAGCTCCTTGGCCAGAAGCACAGTTCCAACCCAATGAGAGCAGAAGCAGTGGGTAAATGCCTGCCCTGGCAGTGCCTTCCTCTCCGAGACTGAACTCCTCAGGGCATCGGAGTCCAGCAGATTTCTCCTCACCTTCCATGGCTGCAGTGAACAGCCCATGTGTGTGCTCGCAGAGAACATGATGGATGCCGAACCTCTGAGCCAGGGATTATCAAGTCCTTTCACGAAGGAAATCTAAGGGCTAACGTTTCTCCTAAAATTCAAATGACTAATGGAGACTAAATAAAACCTCCAATTCAATGTGAAAGGTGATATAAACAAGTGAAGAACATGTTGAAAGAAGATACACAAAGTAGTGCACTGAAAGGCACTGTTTAAAGCTAAGTGTACGTATTTAATATTTAATAGCTCATCATGAACTCTAAACCACTGAACCAATAAATTAGTCTTTTGTGCAGGGTTTCAAATGCCCTTCTGAAGTCCAATTATGAAAGTGCTTCCCCTTCCCAATTAATCTGGGTTGTTACTTTCTTAAAAGTCGAGATACTTTATGCATGGTTTCCCTTTTGTAAAACCACGCTGAGTATCTAAGCAGTAAAACACAACGGATTATGCAGTGGTATAAATAATGCAGATCTTCAGTGTGAACTGAAGCACAAGGCAAGGCAGAGTCACAGCCTGCACTTTCAACTGCTACTTGCCAAAGTACTTCTAATTGACCTCAACGGGACTGTGCCTTGAGAGTTCAAATTACTCCTGTGAGTAAATATTAGGTTAGTTCTGTTTCACTCCAGCGTGTCTGAAGCAGCCTTCTCTTCAGATATGCTGGAGTTTTTCTTTTAAGTGCTATTGTTGAATTAATGAAACTATTTCAAAGAAACCCAAAATATTCCTTGAAATGTAATTTTTTTACTCTGATTAATATAACCTGGAACAAAATTTACACCACTGCAATTACACCACTCCTTAAGATGCACTACATTTTTCTCCACTTTTCCCTTTTGCTATTTAAGCCTCACTCTTTGACTGAGACATGGCCGAACGGTTTTCTTCAACATTCCCCCTTCCTTGTCTGACTCTATTATAGAAAAACAAAACTGGAAGAATTAAGCATCTCCCAGTTGTGCTTTCCAATAGAAAATTAAAGTATTGCAAACAGATTACTGGGCCACAGGAGGCACATTGATGACAGCAGGGCTTTGAAATTCAAATGTAGCTCTTTTTCTTTGAAACCCTGCCACGGGTGTAGCGCTCTCAGAACTGCCCCGAAGCTGAAACAGCTGCTTCAGTTTCCTTTTACAGTGATTGACTAATCATCCCGTTGGAAGAAGAGGGGCTCTTATTTCTATAATTCAGTAACAAGCGAACAAAAAAGCACACTGTACTTGGTAGCTTCCAGAGCAGCTTTTGATAACTCAGAACAATACAAAATCACAAGAATCTTAAGAACTACACTTTCTGTGATCACAATACTACTTCTTCTTAGATGCCCTGACAGACTCAGTGCTACTGGAACATCCAATCACTTGCACTTAAGCATTTCAGGTGGATAAAATTTCAGGTTTTCCTAGCAGTGAAAGTGATCATTAACAAAAGTCTGAACTACCCAGCTATTTATTTCCTGTGCTCTTTTCTTCCTTTTTTTTTCCTCCTACTGAGTTGAGGGGGTAATTTAATTAAAGTCTCTTAATTTTTACTGAGTTCCCTTCAATAAGACTCTGTGTATACTGATTTCTCAAGGCCAACCAGCCAATATATTCTGCCCTCATATTTGGGAAATATGGTGGCATCCTGCAGCTGCTTCTGAAAACTCTGTTTCTTACTGTTTTACTGCTATCCTGCAAGAATGCGGAACACATCATTGCTTTCCTGGAAAATGTACTTGTCTGTCATTTGAACAGCGTGTCCTACAGTTTCACAAGGAAGCAGCGTGAGGCAAAGGTGAGTCTCATAGCCAGGTAAAAAAGATTTTACTGGTCAAGAGATCTGAAAAGCAGAGTTAAAACTATCAGGGCAGCAGGATAAAAATATCCTCAAAACAAAACAAACAAAAAAAGTAAGGAAGATGAGAACAATGAAAAGGCAGAAAGGAAAAGAGCAGGACAGGTACCAAATTGTTGTAAGACATGCATTTATGATATATTTACGTACAACAGATACAATATAAAATTACATTGCTATTTTCCTGTTTCCCTGTAATATCATTGTTTGATGAGGTGCTTAGTATCAGCTTACAAACTTATTTAACCAATGGAAACTTCTTATTTTAAATCTCAGGCTAGAGAACTCAATTTACACTGAATTAGAATTCCTGAAACAGGTCCTTCATTAAGTATTTCTATCTGTTTCAATATATACCCTTTAACCCCAAAAGTTGAATATTTTTCCCTCCATTTCAGCTTAATTTGTCTTGTATCCCAAATATTTTGAATATACCTACTGAAGGTTCTTGTTTACCTGCTGCTATTTCCTAGATTCTCACTGCAGAGAATCCTCCTCCATGTGCCAAACTCCATGGCATTTACTTCATCAACCTACTTAAACACCTCCTGAAACTCCTGAAAGTTTCAGTGTCACACTTTCAACAGGTCAGCACAGACCAATGTTCTAGAGCACATTCTCTCTCATGAGTCAGAGTAGATTGTTTCTATAAGATCATTTTGTGAAAGTATAAAGGTAGAAGAACCAAGTGTGATTTTAAGGTACAGGTCACCCCGAGTGCAAACCCAACCGACACACTTCCGTGTCCTCCAGCAAGTTCTTCCCAAGAAAAGCTGTGCTATGTATAGCAGCTATCTGGTGTCTGTCATACCCTGTTGCCAGTCACAACACTGCAACAATTAAGTGACTCAATCACCAATCGGTTGCTTTTCTTACCCAGGCACACAGAAACAGATGTTTCACTGCCTCAGGGGTTCCTTTTCTTTCACACCTACTTGGCACAAGCTGTTTGCCAGGCACTTGCTGACACATTCAGTCAGTTTTGCTGCTGTTGCTTTTTAGTGCTGAAGCCTGGAAGGCTCAAACATACTCTAAGCTGCAAATCCTGCAAAAGTACTCTGCACATCCACAGGTGTGAGGAATTGACTTTTTATGTCACCTTGACGATTGCTAGACAACATCAGTGTTGTAGCGGAGCGGCAAAGGACAGATCGAGCACATGTGACCGCTACGGCAACACGATGGCAAAAAATACACCCCAGCAATATCCCGGTAAAAGGGTCAGGGCGCAGCTTTGTTACTACAGCCCCATCTCCACGAGGATACTGCCAGCAGAACACCAGACAGAACAACCAGGAGTACAGCCACAAATTTTAGAGGCACATCTTATTGTTCCACTTCTAGTAACCACATTGGTTTTATCCCTTTGTTTATAATTCAGGATTACCTGTCAGACAAAAACCACTCAAATACGTGCTCTTCACTTCTTTCTGAGAAAAACACCCTGATATCCCTCACATTCTCTTACTCATCCTCCTGTGAGGTAATTGAGAATCTTACTTGCTATGGGAACGCCATTTACAAGCCAGCTAATATTAGGCTTTGGGTTGCCGTTAGCTCTGCAGATCAACGTCCCATCTTCTCCGGGAGACAAGACCAAGTTTCTGGGTGCTGTTATCCAGTATGGGGCAGCTGGGGTCAGGAAGAGAAACACAGCAATTGTTTTCCAAAATTACATACAGAAAATCATAAGGCACAGTCATGGTAACCAGAAGACAATTCAAACAAGGCATGTATAGATACAGATTTATACTGTTAATTTTTTTTTTAATATATGTGACAGTTGGTGATCAGCTGGTGGATTTTACTTTGGCTAAACTGGCTGCCCACTGCATTAAAATTCTGAGATAAGCAGCAAGAGGTTCTTTTGTTTCATTTAGGGCCTGCTTTGAGTCTAATTTGCCTTTCCTAAAGCAAGTAAAATGAATCTGCGTATGGCATCTGCAGAGACTGGAGTGGTCTTTTGATTAACTTCAGAGATATCCATGGTCACAGTAGCTAGGCCATTAGACATGAATTTAGGTTTGATTACATAAAAAGATTCCATGTCAAGGGTGAAATTTAGAAATGGCAGAATCCTTGGCCTCGCTTCATTCAGTGGGTGATTACAGTGGGGCCAGATATTTACCTGAGACCTCTGAAAATACACAGATCAGAACGGATGGAACACTGTCCTTATCAAAAGATATTCATCTATGTCCCCATCTCTTTTACAATAAATAACCACAAATACCATATGCCATCACATACATTGCAATTAAATTTCAGATGTAAACAGAAAATTAAACTTCTGCTCTTAAAAAGGAGGTTGAATGTGATCATAAAATGACACTGGTCTACAAGAAAATAAATGGCTATTTAGCATGCAAAGTAAGCATTACGGTTGATTACTTCAATGACTAATTAGCTGTCATCACAGGTTTTTGTTTCATGGTATTCAAAAGATACTTAAAATTCCTATTTGGACAAACATACTCTAAGTGGTTTTAGAATTACTAAGACATCATCTTGGGTAAAAAAGACATGAAGAAGATACAAAACCGGAAGTGTCAATTAAGAAAGAAAAAGGAAGAAGAAAATAGACCTTAAGACAGTAGTAAAATAGAGAAGAGACAGAATCTGGGCTATATGAATACAGAGCAGAAAAGATGGAGAAAATAAGGAGATGAAAAAGAGAAATGGGGAGGTAGATAAAAAACAAGGGAAAGAAACGGTTTTACGACATAATCAAAGGATCTAAATTAAAGGTGTCACCAGTACAAGCTAAGAAATTATTTTACTACTCTTACAGTGAAATCTTAATTTACCCTGATGCTTTACAAAATAGCATACTAAAAAAAGAAAAAGAGAGGGTTTTTTACCATTACCATTCATCCTTTCAGCTATATTTTGTCCTAGAAAGCTTAATTCAGTCTTGCATTCTGGACACGGTTAATATTACATTAAGGACGATTTTTGCATTACCTTTCACAGTTACTGAAATCACATGATGAGCAGACCCTAATATATTTCTTGCTATACATTTGTAGTTCCCAGAGTCAGCTTCAGAAACATCTAGAATCTTGAGAGTTTTCTTAAAGTTTTCAAAAAATGTTCTGTTGGCTGGCAGTTCCCCACCCTCTTTAATCCAGCGGATTACTGGAGTGGGTCTGGAGAAGCAAAAGCATAGACCAAATTTAGGGACTGGAGAAAAGGAAGACAGAAGTTCAATACATTAATTTTTTGAACGTGTATTTTACAAATAATTGTTTTAAGAGCCTTTACCTAGATACTGGGGCACGTCGAGCAAATGTGCAAAATGTGCCAGCATTTGTTTCTAGGAAATGACAAGCCTCACTAACACTGTCAATGGCCATCTGTTTGTAGCTTAATAATTACAGAATATATTTGTCTGCTGATTAATCTAAAAACCCTGATGGTTAATAAATTAATACAAGTGTATTTCAAATCTTATTGCACTGGTACTATTAAATTGATGCTCATGAGGCTTTAAAAGGTAGCTTCTAGATAAGGAGGAGTTTATAATTGTCCTTCATGTGAGCAATATCTTAACGCTTCATGAACGTCATGAATTTTACAGCAGAGCTGTAAGGAGACAGAAGCATTCCCTGTGAGAAATCAAGAAAAACACACCAGTGCTGAGTGAAGTATAGCTGCTTGTAACTGCAACATATCTATGTCTTGGCTACGCCCCATGCTGTGCACTGAAGGTGAAGGTTATCCAAACACATGATATATACTTCTTAAATCACAAGAAATTACAAGGTGTTGCTTAGTGAGTAGAACATCCTCCCTCAAATTGTAATGATTCAAGGCAAATATTCCCTTAGCAGTCTAATATCACATATTTTGTAACACAGACCCTTAGCAAACTTGACTTTTAATTATGGTATTAGTAATTAGGAATAGTTGTTTTAAACAAAATCTGAATCCGGCCTTTTGTGGACAACTACATAAGCTTTTCTCATTGATTTTTTTTTTTTTTTAATTACATGATGGCCAGCAAGAATCATAGAATCATAGAATCATAGAATGGTCAGGGTTGGAAGGGACCTTAAAGATCATCTAGTTCCAACCCCCCTGCCATGGGCAGGGACACCTTCCACTAGACCAGGTTGCTCAAAGCCACATCCAGCCTGGCCTTGAAGACAGCCAGGGATGGGGCATCCACAGCTTCTCTGGGCAACCTGTTCCAGTGCCTCACCACCCTCTCTGTGAAGAATTTCTTCCTGACATCTAATCTAAACCTCCCTGATTTCAATTTATACCCATTACCCCTTGTCCTGTCACTACAGGCTCTTGTAAAAAGTCCTCTCCCAGCACCCCTGTAGGCCCCCTTCAGATACTGGAAAGCTGCAATGAGGTCTCCTCGGAGCCTCCTCTTCTCCAGGCTGAACAAGCCCAGTTCTCGCAGCCTTTCGTCATAGGAGAGGTGCTCCACCCCTCTGATCATCTTCGTGGCCCTCCTCTGGACTCGCTCCAAGTGGTCAATATCCTTCTGATATTGAGGGCTCCACAGCTGGATGCAGTACTCCAGGTGGGGTCTCACCAGAGCAGAGTACAGGGGCAGAATCACCTGTATAATAATGTATAATAGTCTGCTTTTTTCCCCATTTTTAACCAGCCCTTTTATTGGCGTTTGGATCACTGAATACTTTAACTGCAGGGTTATCAAAAAGCATGTAAGTATATTGCAGATGAAGGTTACCTGAGCTGATGCTACTCCCACTCTTCAGGTATAGTTCTGCTGGTGCAGACACCTCAGCAGACGACAGCTGAGACAGGAACACTGCACTGATGCTCATATCAAGCTGTGTCAAGCTGTGCACAAGCGTGCCCTGTGGAGCTTATGCAAGTGAACAGCTTATGGTGTGCTGCATCATTTCCGATTCTTGACTTTCCTCATGGCTACCTCAGAGCACTCTGCGTTATATGCTTTTGTGCACTGTAAACATGTGTACACTTCCTGAAATAGGTACTAAAGATTTTGCACTCCTGCACAGTTCCGTCTATTTTCACATTTCTTCCCAAGAATTAAACCAATTTAAGATCAAACTAGTTCACGAAGTTAAATTGCTCTTTAGACACTTTCTACTTGCACAATAACCAGCAGAAGCACACTTGCATTACATCGAAGAAACAAGTAGCAATTAAACTCAATTACAATGAGAAATTGGATGTAAGGAGCTGAAGGTATGTTCTAACAACTCCCACCTCGCTATCTACTAAGTAATTATTAGCATACATAAGCAGCTTCTTCAGATTAGACCAGCAGATTCTTATCTATTTTTATATACTTTGAGAGCCTGATGATTGTAAATTTAGGTTATAACCAGAGATTTGATTGCTAAGTGCAATTCTGCAGATGTGTGTCCGAGTTTAGACTATGGCATTTCTTGCTGTGTACTTTAAGAAAACAGTGGTTTTCTTAAATGAGCCCTGTGGGCAGGGTTTAGGGGTATGAGAAGGCTCCCTTAAAGAGCTCTTTCCATTTTACATTTCCACCTCTTGGAAATACCTAAGATTATACAGTGATAATGTTTTAGGCATCTGTGAAATGTTTCAGTATCTCTCTGCATTTTTATTTAGAAAAACAGCCTGAAAAACCAACTCACAGTCCTGCTGCGATGCACTCCAACAAAAGCACATTTCCTCTGAGTTCCACTTTGGTACTTGTGCTGCCTGTTGGTGTTAGAAGAATTGGCTGCCTCTCTGTAACTGGCTTTGCTGGAACAAGAAAAAACAAAATATTTAATTTATAAATTTTATTTTAATTCTGATCAAATGCATACATCCATTCTCACGTTTTGGACAGAGATTTTGTTCCACATTGACCATTTAATTAAAAATCATGGTTAAAAACCACAACTACACAGCTCAACAGATTAGGTTTTTGACAGACATAACATGTCTCAGCCTGTTAAATGTTATAATTTTGAACACATATGAAATATGTTATTTTTAAAGATGGGAGCAAGTGATATATAGGCAACTATGCAGCCTGATGGATGGATGGATTCTGAAGCTTTAATCCTAACCAGCCGCTATTCAGCAGAACTATTACGGGGAATAAGGTGTCACTGATGTGAGTCGTAGTGCAAGACTGAAAGTTACCAAAAATTTCTGAGCTTCCACCAGAACACCAAAGTTGTTGTATCCAGAAATATAAACTAAAGGGATAAAACATACACTCCACTTTGCAATATGCTTTGTTCAATATTTTCTAGACAACATGAGGCATCTTCTCAGAAGTTAAGCCTTGTATTCTCCTCTGATTATATATTTAACTTTAATTCAAGCTGTTTCCCAGTCTGGTAATAAAGAACCACTGATGAACCCGCAAGAAATAACCACAGCAAACAGAGAGCTATAAATGTAAGACCCATTTCTGACATTATACTCTGTTGGCTTTTGAGGTATTACAGTGTTTCATGTGCTTTCATGGAAGTCAGAATAAGAGTGCTTTCGGTAAATACTCTAATGGTTTTTGTAGTACTTTTAAAATACAGAATTAAATTTCTTTAAAATGCAATAGCAATGTGAATCATTACAGTAAACTATTGTAGGTTGTTTTACATGTTAGCAGAAACATAATAAAGTTGTCTATTAGGGTTCAAGATTTACTGATAGACTAACATAAATAGAACACTTTTAATACAGTACGGGCTATGAATTTGGTAAAAACTAGTACATGAACAACTTAAAGTTGGGAGAAAAGGGCAGTCTAGAGTCAAGAACGCAGCTGACAGTCACAGACAACAACTAATTACCCAGTTTCAGCACTGCTGAGGACTGCTGACTCCTTCTCCATGGCTATGAAAATTACCTCAGGTGTTTCTGAGTTGTGACCCAACACAAGAATGGTGTTACCCTGGCTAACTGTAGCCATATATTATTTTGTGTTCAGGTACATACTTCTTGCTCATTCCTGAATGGCACATCTTATTTTTATGCAGAGAATTAAAATATTCTCTTGCCCTGTTTTATTTTAGATTCCCGTGGGTTATGGTTTAACACGTACAAAACCTCATTTGACAAGGAAAAAGACAAAACCAGAATAAATATCATGTATTTTCTATCTCACACAACATCAAGTGGAAAGTCTAGAACACCAAGTGTTACTCCAAAGTCAGCCTTCCTAAACACACATCTACCTGTTTGGGAGGATTTAATTCACAACATACAAAAAAACCACTGAACGTAGGTTAATGTAAAGATCAACTCAACAGACAAACAAAACTCATCTTTCCCCTACAAAGTTACATAGATAGTATTAAAGTGTTTAGATTTTAATTAATTCCAGTTTTGCACTTATATGTTAAAAATGGTACATCAAAGAAACTATTAAATACGAAGTACATCTGTTAAATGTTTAATTGTTGTTACTTATTATGCAATATGTGATATTGAATAGTCCTAGTGATAATCAACATATCAACATAGTTAAATTGGAGGAAAAACAAGCAATGCGGTATGGAAGAAATCAAATAGACGATTTGTAAAATCTGCCCCAGTGTGACAGAACTCATTTATCCTAAGAGTTGGGTTTTTTTTTTACGAGCCATACATTACAACAATGTCAAAACATGAAATATTTGAAAGGATCACACTGTGCAGTCCCTTTCTAAAGCACGTATTATCACTAGCACTAACAGCATCTTTATTAGAAACACTGAAAAGGGAGCAAAAGGTTAAGTAGCCATGGAAGTGAAGTTAGTTAACTAAATGCTACTGTGAAACAGGCAGTATCAGTGGGGACCAGTATAACTCACCACCATAAATATCAGTGTCACTCAAATTAGCAGCTATAGTGTCATTCAATGAATCCACTGAAATAAACAGAATATCATGAAGAATGCATACAAGAGGGATAAATCAAAGTATTGGGAATCAAAAGGTGATGATATGGCCACGGTGAGTTAATCAAATGATTGATTAATTTGTTTCAATTGTTATAATAATCATAATAACTTGATATTCTTGAACATGAAAACTGTTTGAAGCCTATTATTTTTTACACTATATTTTTTTCAGTATTTCAAATCTTACAAAAAATTTTTCAAAAGACAAAGCTGGATAAAGGGAAAAAATAACAGCTTTCAAAATGAATTATTTCAGGAAAACTGGACATCACACTTGAATTTTAGGCAGTAATGTAATTTCTTATTCAGAATTAAAATGACAGAATTCTCTAGTGTAACACTACTTTGGCAAATAACTTGACAATTCTGGATAAATGCTGTGTAAGTATTATTAGGTAATGCAATACCTACTTGAAAAGACTTTTACAGAGATGGGTTGTTTCTGTTGTATCGTTTGCGTATGATTAAATCTTGCATAGCAGATATAGTCCTCACGGGTGTCTTCTGGTTGTACATTTGAAAAATAAAGGTCTCCGTTTAGACCTTGGGAAACTCTTTCGCTTTGAGGCAGCCTTTGGAACGCTAAGGGAAAACAACAACATTTATCTCAATCATAGCGCACACTCCATCGTTATGACCTGCAGACTCCACGTTTCTTCCATTCATGCTCTTTGTAGGTTTGTAAATATGCAGACCTTCCGAAGTTTCCTCTAGAGCTCCCTCGTCTTCCCATTCTTCCCCAGTGTGTTAGTTTACAACTTACATTAAGATCTCCAGCTGCTTTTGGCTTCATGCTTTTGGGCTGCATGTCTGCTTGTTTCTTCATTTCTACAGAAATGGAAATTCTTTGAATTTTAACTTAGAGGGAAACTCCACCATCTGTGGTCTTGGTAAGCAATGTTCAACTACGCAGAAAAACTGCAAAAAAGTAAACTAATTCTGCATAAAACCCAAACTCACCATTATCCATCCAAAATATTATAGGTGGTGGTAAGCCAACAGGAGGTCTGCAGTGCAGTACTAGTGAATCACCTTCTCGAACCTGATTTGGTTCTAGTTTTTCTTTAGTCCACAGAGGGGATCCTATAGAAAGTAATTTCAACACACACACAAAGTACGGATTGACAAAAAAATCCAGCATGCGAGGAAGAAATGCACATAATATTCCAGAAAACAAGAAGAACTACATGCATCAGACTGTTAAGTCTTACAACTGCTTACTAAACGTTGAGTTTTCTTTTTTATGTTGGTTTTTTTTTTTAAAGTAAGTTTTCTAAAAAAAATTTTTTACAGCAACAATTTGTTGAAAGTACAATCAACCAATTCAAATTATTCTGGCAACTCACTAGAAGTTCTATAACAGTATCTTGGAAAGTTGGGTGGGGTTTTTTTTGGTTTTTGGTTGATTGGGTTTTTTTCTCCTTTCATTATCATAGCCAAGAAAGTGATGCACCAAATTAGGAAAAAAGGTAGACCTTTCTAAAACAGGATTATACACACAGTTTTATTAAAACTTGTGAGAACAGCACATTTTAAGCTGAGAAACTTGAAAAACTGACCTGAGGTAAAAATCACATAAAAAGCTGTAGAAACCGTCTACCATTAATAAAAGGGTTTTTTAGCTTTACCTTCTTTTTGGTCGCAATCTGTTCTGTATTAAAGCTATTATAAAAACTTGGACAGAGAGGAGAAACTCTTAAACTCGGAAAAAGAATAAAAATTGTCCTCATCAATAACGTACACTAAAGATTTAAACATGTTTTTTCTAACTGTAAGATCATACATACAACCCAATTTTAAACAAGATAGCTCATCCAGACATACCAAAAAATATCAGGAAAGCATTTTGGTTATTAAATTTTCTAAGGAATATTGAAGACATCATACATTATTAAATCTGGATATCAGAAACTAACCAATACCTTCTAACATGATCATTTTGATGATTACATTTTTAAGACAGGGAAAAAAAAGTGAAATATTCATGAGAAAATAGGCAAACCAAAGTGTTTCACATTTAATGAACATTAAGAGCTTCACTTACTAGAAGGCCTTATAACGATATTGTTTGAAATGGCTGCTCCTCGTTCATTCCTTGCTGTACACTGATACACTCCTTCATATGCTTCTGCCTTGCCACCATTCATGATATTTATGACAAGGGTCCCTGAATTTGGTTTCATTGTTACCTGTGCATCTTTATCTATGTCAAAATGAGTTCCATTGCGTGTCCAGGAGAAGCTAAAATCATAAAAACAAGAAGTTTCTTATTCCGTTGCCTTTTGTAGATTGTATGGAGAGAAAGAAGAAAAAAGACATTTTCAATAATATGTGGTATTTTTTCTTTAGCAGATAAGTAAGACTTGTTCCCAATCTAAATTAATTAATAAAGTAACAGAGCACTCTTTAATGTAAGAAATCTGGCAGTGCTCTAAGATAAAAGGTTTGGCTGAACTTGTTAACAGGAGCCATTTCAAAGTCAATATTTAAAAAAATATGTTAAAAGATTCTGAAGTTAATTGTATATGGAAAAGAACTGATTTTCTTTCTGCTAAAGATGATACAGTAATATCTGCGAGAACGGATACTGCTAAAGCTGCATTAGAATTTCCTATTATAAAACCTATTGTTGAAAGGGTTTATAAAACCCCCATTAAAAACTTGCTCTGGGCTGAAACGTGTCATCTCAGGTCCCAGCAGGAGACCATTTCTTTTAATTGGTTTGGCCATTTTAAAGCTATAGAAGTGAATTAAAGACCGTGTGGTGAGTTGGATTTCTTCTCACTCCTGTAACACAAACAACGATTCTTTAAATGAAATTTTGCAGTCTGATAGCCCATAATTAACTAGTAAATTTATACACAAGACATGTTTTGAAAAGGAGTCACTAAAAAAGAAGGCTATTAGAACTCATAAAATGCAAAAAAAGCAGAGATTCACGTTGTGTGACATACTACCATAAACAACAAATTCTTACTTAAAGTTTGTTAATGGCCAGAAGTATAGCTACAGAGAGCTAGACCAACGTCCATGAACAGCTGAGCACTCACGGGTTCCAATGCTGTGAACAGCACTCCTCCTACTTGTTACTGTTCAGCTTCATAATCTTAGACACAAATTTTATATATGCTCCCCAGTTAGAAAGCTTCCTAAAAGCACAAACATATATGGGACTAGAAAAGCTCAAATTTTAAGTGTATTAAATTGTGCTCCAACCTTCTGCAGTAGAAGGGCAAGACTAGACACACCACTTGCACTTTGTGGCAGGGGAGAGCAGAACTGGACCTGACCAGCAGCACTGCGTCACCCTGCAGTGGTTTTGGGAGGATACGTGCACACCGTGAACCAACAGCGAACCTCTTTCTTACAACCCTGTGGGTGAAGCTGCAGAACGTGGGCTTACTGTAATCTTCTGCTACCAATAACCACGAAGGATACGGGAAACTAATGTAGCGTCAAATGAGAGGTGGCAAATACGGTACAAACCCCTGAATTTGAGATCCATGGAAGTCAGAACCTTTGATGGTCAAGTTATAGGAAGCAGCACATCCATAGACCTTTATGTCAGCTGCTCTCATCACTAAGAGGTTACCCTGTTTCAACAAACAATTCACACTCCTGGCTAAAAAAAATTCATCTTCAACTTCAGAGCTTTGAAGCAGCTCAAGTTCTAATATGCATTTTCAGGTCACCAAGACCGATGAACTAGACTAATTATTCAAGTAAGTTATTTGGATGTCATCCCTAAAAATAAACAAAACTACACACAAGCTTAGAAATGTCATTAGAAAATTCTGCACTTAAATCCTGTTCCTTCCTCTGCAGCAGGGGAACAAAGTACCATATAGGTTTGATGAGAAAATTGAGGCAGAGATCCCTGGCACATGACACAGATGTGTCAGTCTCACAGACAGTGCTCTTAGTCTTTCAGGTAAATCCAACCCAAAAAAGGCCTTCAGGAGAAACACCAGCAGAAGCAGTACAGTTGTCCCAAGGCACGCAATAATCATCTGATCCTCCACGGCTGAACTGAAATACTGGTAAACACAGCAGTTTTTTGTCACTCCTACTAATAACAGCACACAAGAAAGGGTGACAGTATCACAGATAATCTCCATCTTTTCCATTCTGCTGCCCAGCATGATAATGACCCTGATCCCAAGGCAGCCAGAAGGAATAATGTAGAAAACACCCCAGCTATGCAGAAGTAGTACATTTAATGAGCTCTGCGTGTACCTGAATGAGCAATTATAGGCTGACCTTGTTAGTAAGTTGTAGCCTAACAGAACTGACAACAGAGATGCACATTTCTCTTTATACCCTGTGAAATCAGAAGCAGTTATTAGCAATGTCAGAATGCATCACTGCTATTTCCAGCACAGGTACTCAGCATCTTGAAGTGAGTAGTTTTCAAGCGTTTCTAGATACTGAAACAAGGATTAAAATGGAAGATAATCAGGAATGTGACCTACGCACAGGGCTGCAACTTCTACCAAACCCGAAACTTGAGGCTATTAAATATACTTGGTAAATCAAGTCTACTGATCATATGCATTATATAACTTCCAACAAAATGTTTATGTATTTCAAGATAAGCCTCATAAAATGGAATGATTTATAAAACGTTAAATTTGAATTTATTAGCATTACTCAAAATTCATTCAATGTCCATTCATGCCAGACACTATGCCTAAATCTGGAATGTCACCAAGTTCAGTGTGGCACGCCTCTTGGTGCTTTCCATGGGCATCTACCTATCTGCTCTTTTAACAATTGATTATTATTTTACTGTTAGAGCTTTGAGGAGAAAGAAGTACTACAGTTAGTTGATGACTGTAGAAAAGTTTAAATGTCAAGGATGAGTCAAATTTATGCCACTATCTGGTAGCTGTTGAAATTACAAAGGTAGGAGTGTGCGAAGATTCCGACACGTGCAAGCACACGCAGACGCATATACTTGTTAGTTTACAAACATTACATTATTTTCTCCTAGTTTTCCTATGCTATCAGGCCAATAAATGCAAACCAAAATGCTACTAACCTAGGAGGCGGCTTTCCTTTTGCTTCACACTGTATTACAATATTCTCTCGAGGGTCAACAATGTAATCTTTTGGAGACTGCTGAGTTATCGTAGGAGGTTGCAACACTTCATGGAACATAAGAAACAGAGAAGAATTTAATAATATTTTCAAAGTATCAGCAAACAGTTCTGTAAGCAGAGAAAGCAGAATTGCAGTTAGCAAAGAAATCAACAGAAGAAGAGCGCGTTTAAAGGATCTTTTGTATTAGGAGGCTGAAGGCCTCTACTCTTGTAAATCCGTGTATCTATACTAACTTCCAAGGGAGCCATGCTGATTTACAGCGGATGAAGACCTTGGCCAAAAATTTTAATGGACAGAATTTCTTTACATCAGACTTCAACAGATTTTCACAAAATCAAAAGGATGCTGGAATTCTAAGCCCGACATTTCCTGAACTAAGAGTTGGGAGACACACACCCACACAAATGTTTCTTACCACACAGAAGGAAAAAAAAAATATACATTGCTTTGTATTTCTAAACATTTTATGTATTTCCAAATTCTTTATGGGTTTAAACTTTCCCAATAAACGTTTATTGTGCTCCACATATTGAATTAATCTATAAAGCATGCTTTTAGGAACTACTTTTCAGGAGTAACATATCTGTTAGAAGTAAAAGACTGTTAAAAAATGACAAAAATAGTACCTAGTTTCCAAATAAGAGTAAACATGTAGGAAAAGTCTAGTACTTCCTAAAAATTACAACAGAAATATAGCCAAGCTCTTGAATTGCCCCAGGAGAAACAAGCATTTAACATTTATGATTTATCACGTACTCTAGAATGAGTAGTACAAACCACAATGGATTCACCCCACAACGTAGTTGGTGCTTACCTATTTAAAGTAATTTATAACCTGTTACACCATTATCTATGCCCATTTTTGCATTAAAAAAATTCCTGTTTATGATATTAAGATAGTGAGAAAGGTGTCTTCTTCCTCAGCATCAATCATGTTTATAGTTTAGTGTCACCTAAAGGAACCACTTTAATAACATGCCCGTGAATATTACCAAGTGTTGTAAATTGTCTGTCCAGTAATACACTTTGCTACTACTCTGGGATCATTTCTAATATTTTAGCAAAATATTTCAACCATTATGAAATGCCTGACTCTAGTCAATTAAAATTATAAACCTGGGATTTTTAAGTCTTACCTACCATTACACATTAAGTACCCTGTTGCACAGAAAGAGGGAGCCATCTGTAAAGCCCTACCCACAAGAAATAACCAGGAAAAAAAATAATCAGATCATGGAATCATGATGAGATATAGAAGCTAAGCAGAACAGGCCATGCAGAGCTGGATTCTGCTCCTCTACCTCACTGCAGAGAGCAGAGTGGCTAAAAGAGGAAGGCAACATTTTTACAAGACGATGACTCCTTGTGTATGTCTTCAGAGAGACACTTTGAAGACAGTCCTTCTCCCTCTCAGAGGCAGGTGCATCAGATGCTTACTTGGCAAAAGCAAGCACATTCTGAAAAGGGCCATGACATGAACACTGCCCAATGTACAGCATATTCCATCCATCTGATGCACATCATAGACCTGAAGTCTTCACTCCTGTGCTGTGCACTGCACTCAAAACTTACTAAATTAACCATGATGCTAGAGCTGAGCTAGGAGATGCAATAAAAGATTAGGTCTATTTAAGTAACTTTATCCACTTTTTTTTAAAGGATATAAAAGTATCTCCAACTCAGACATGTAAATTAGTCCATAAGCACATATATTCCAGTGAATTTATTTTTTTGTAAAATATGTTTACTCCTGAAAGAAGCAGTAAAACATTGGTCATGCTGCTACTGAGTGAGGATTTTCATGTTCAGTTAGCACACAATCAAAAATCACACAATTAATTTGTTCAAAGTACCGGAACACTGATTTATGTACAGTAGTATTTTCTTAACACGGCATGCACAAAACATCTAGCTACAGCAAACCAAATTACCAACAGAATGTCAGAATCACACATTTTTGGACTGCAAATTCAATTCACAACACAATCAGTATTAATTTTCAGCAGCACACAGCCAAGTTTTTGTGGACAGCAACTTACATTCTTCTAGAAGTTTTGCTTTTATTCCCCCATCAGAATCAGCAGTTGAATGGACAAATGGAGATTAAAGAGAAACATTTGTTAGTTAAAAGAAAATTAGCATTTTTGAGAGGGAAGATAAGTAACTCTGACAAGTACATTGGTCCCCATTAAAAAGAAAATATTTAAAACATTTAGCACTGTAACCCAATGCAGTGATGCCTGGAATTCCATCCATGATTTCCATTCTGTCAGTTATTACTACATTTATCTCAAAGTTCATGGTATGAAAAACTTCTCTGAAGTGCTGACTGTTTGAGGGCAATCGTGTTATGTGATTTTGGCCTTGCGAGGACACAAAACACTGCTACTGAGGAGACAGTAAATCAGAATTAATGGAGTGCATTGTCCTCATGCTGTAGTCAAAATCAATCTGCCCATATGATCATATGGAAGAACAAAGAGAATGCTTCAGGCTAAAATTACTCTTTCAGAGACCAAAGCACCGAATTCTACTCAGCAGACATGCAATCCCTTTTGGTTTGAAAAATAACTAAACAAAAAAATCATCTTAATTGTCACATCTGTATGTCTTACTTCACACATTTTGCATACGTGTCTCCTCATCAATAACGTTTTAGAGCAACCCAGAATGGTTTTTAGTCAGCCACACTGCCAGTCATCCTTTACCGACTTTAAGACCCTGACGAGTGTAAGAACTGCTAACCTGGATGAGAGAGACCTAAAGGTTGAACGAATCAAGTTTGTTCTCACCGGGTCTCTGTGGTAGGGATGAAGGGAAGACTCACAGAAAATATGTCCTTCCCTTGTGGTGGTCTCCCAGACCCCATTATAACCACTAGTTATGAAAGCAATAACATCATTATAGACGTAATTTTGCTTAATATGATTTTTGGCTAAAAAGATGAAGTATGTAACCTTATCAGACCTAAGAGTTTTTGAACATTATGTGGTAAGGAACAAATTAATTGACAATTAACATGATAGATCTTAAAAGGGCCACTCATTTTTGTCTGTTGATAAACTTCTGGTTAATTTAACCTGAAGTGTTGCTCTATACAAAAGATATTAAAGTGGTGCACAATTTATGTTATTTTCTAAACTACAAGGTGGGTGTAAAGCACTACTTCTAGCCTGCAAAATCATTTAGGGAGAAAAATTAAGTTTAGAAAATAACACATTGATTCATCAAACATTTAAAGCCCTCCTTAAGCCACGGTTTATTGCTCTATAGGCATTCACAGCACAAAAGTCTGATGTGATTCAGATATATTGATCCTGTTACAGAAATGTAGGTCATGGGTTTGAGAGGCTTGTAAACATACATGGGGAAAAAACATCAAAGCAGTTGCAATTTATGTCAGTGATTATTACAGAAAAAATGCATTTATACAAGGTAGGAAGGTATCAAAAACACAGGGGTAAGAAAAGCCATGCGGATTAGTATCATAGGCAAATCTATCAATCCATGTATTAATCCACTAATTTAACACCAGCCCTAATGTTCTCTTCTCTGGAAATTAGTTTAACAAATGACTAGTTACTGCGAGGCGTAGCATGGTTCACTGAATTCTGGAAATGTGATCATGCTTATCCCAAGAAGAAAATAACAACCTGAAGCATGAATAATTTCATAAAGTTAGCTATTAGGGCTACAAGATGTAGGAGCTACCATTGCTTCCTTTTCAGCATGCAGTGCTACTTCAAGGTTCCCCACTAAAACAGTCATAATGGACAAGAACTTCAGGACTTGAGATTTCCCCTCATCTGGATGCTTCCTCACTGGTTAATGCTAGAGTTCCCTGCTCAGCACACATGCTTTTAACTTAAATTTAGGTAATTAACTGTTTTCAGGCACTCCTTAGGAAATCTAAGAACCTCTTACTCTTCTAGATCAAAAAGTAAGAGGGTTCCAAGTGTCTGAATTTTAGGTATTTGAATCTTTTACCAGATCTCTCATATCAGCTCCTGGAAGCCTCTTACATGAAGATCATGCTGATAATTTACAGCAACTAGTTATTGTCCCGGGCTTTCCAGAAAATTGTAAACATGATCTTATTTTCACAAATAATTAGCATTTAACTGGGCTTCTCTGCACTTTTTCACTTTCATCAAATATAGTGTTCAATGAAGGCACGCTGAAGTGAGAGTATTTGCGAGAATCCTATGTTAACCCTTCTCAAGTGAACAAAGTCATTTTAATCTGCATAGAATTTTTAGTCTTCAACAGATTAGGGTAAATATCCATAAACACAATGTCCTGACAGAAGTGAGCAAACACACTCCATGTTCAGCTCCATGTTGGACCTCTCTTCATCTTCCGACACAAATTATTTAACTAATCCTCCATTATTCTGCACTTATTTAGCAGATTAATACTTACAGTCAAGAGGTACATCCAATGCAGAAATCATTTGGCACAGAACGAGGACCAAGGAAGCTTTGCCTGCAGATATGCTCTTCCTTTTCATCATGATTTTAGGCTGTATTGAGTAAATCACACCGAAGAACGAAGTTCAACTTCATCAGAGTAGGCAGCTTGGAATAGTTACGTAAATATAGATAAGAAACCTGGTAAATAAAAATAAGAGAATAAGAATATGCAGCTACTATGGAGAATAGAATGATCGCATCTTAATAGTGTTATGAATTATCAGCAGTCTACATACCATATCCAGGGATAATAGTTACACCACATGCTCTAATGAAATCCAAGCAGAGATCCAGAAGTTCTTAGGACACCTAGATCACAACACTTAGATAAGGAAGCTAGTGAACAACTCCTGTAACTTTGCTGAATGGAAGGATAGAGCATCGGGGTCCAGCTATTTAAAAATTATATATACTAAAGATAAAAGTCCTCTGAAGTAGATCTAGGGGATTAAAGCTCTCAACACACTGAACAATTCTTGGAAAGAGTAATTTTAGGCATCTACCCCAGTGAAAACATGTCTGGCCACAAATTTGCTAAGTTAACTCTGGGATCTTCCTGCAGCTTTCCATTAGGTATCTCAGCTTCTCCCTGCTTTGGAAGTCTTTCTAGTAGACAGCTGTCGACTGAATACAGAAGACTTCATGGACTGCCATGCTGAGGTGCTACCTTATGTACTGTATAGGAACCTAGACTCCTATTCCTGGATGTCTGATTCCACTCAAAATACGTAATATCAAAATACTGCGACATTTCTAGCCTGAACACCCAAAATCTAATAAGCTGGCAGCGCACTATCAAACTCTCTTCTTCTCCTTTCTCTGCAAAGAGGTGGCAGAAGTGAAACCTAAAGGAACTATCTTCTTTGAAATGTGCTAGGTTTCCCCCTCAATCAAGCACAAGTGATTGTATTAACCATGGCAGAATGATTCTGAACCCCTCATTATTTTTACTGCATTCAGTAAAAACATCTACCTTCAAAGACTGTTGAAGGAGTGAAAACTAGTTACATGAAAGTCCCTAGCATCATCACACAAAGAGCTATAAGAAGCCTATGCTGGAGCAGGCTGCTGTGAAGGACTGCACTCCATGCAAGCGACCCACACCGGAGCAGTTACAGAAAACTGCAGCTCGTGGGCAGGACTCGCATCAGAGGAGTTCATGGAGACTGTCTCCCATGGGAGGGACCCCACGCTGGAGCAGGGGCAGAGTGTGAGGATCCCTCCCCCTGAGGAGGAAGGAGCAGCAGAGACAACATGTGATGGACTGACCACAGCCCCCATTCCCTGTCCCCCTGTACCACTGGAGGGGAGGAGGGGGAGAAATGGGGAGGGAAGCTGAGCCCAGGAAGAAGGGAGGGGTGGGGGGAAGGTGTTTCTAAGATGTGGTTTTGTCTCTCATTATCCTACTCTGATTTGATTGATAACTAAATTGATTTTTTTCCCCCAAATCAAGTCTGTTTTGCTGTGACCATAACGGGTGAGTGATCCTTCCCTGTCCTTGTCTCAACCCACAAACCTTTCCTGCTATTTTCTCCTCCTCATCCCACTGGCAGGGGGGGGGAGGGACATCCCACTGGCAGGAGGAGTGAGTGAGCAGCTGTGTGGTGCTTAGTTGCTGGCTGGGCCTAAACCACCACACCTACATTTTTAATGAGCACCCTAAAGCACTGGGGGTTTAGCTGGGGAGTGGGAGAAGTGTTTCTGTCATCCCACTTTCGGCACATACAGTTTTCTATGCTGGCTCTGCAGTGAGTAAGGGAAGGAGAAAGGCTTTTCTTGAGAGCGCCTGAGAGCACTCCAGCATGTTTCCTGCACTGAAGTGCTCTCCAGAAGAGGTGATTTTGTTCCATCAACTACAGCTGTCTGCTCTTCTCCTGTTAAACTAGATTGTCACACGCTGTTCTCATGATCTTTATGTCATCTCCTCATTACAGCATCACTGCGATTAACAAGGTGCCCTCACCATACAATGTGTTTGACCCAGGATTTACAGGACACTCTGAAGTATTCTACAATTGAACATTGGCTTTCACTGTTTCTTGTCCAAGCAAAATTTCAGTTCTCCTTACAAAAACCTGAGAACCTGATAATCCACTTCATTGTCTTGTTTTTTCACCATGTAAAACGAGTATTGCAGTGATTTGAGAGTATTTTAAAATTAAATTGCATTCCCTTTGAACAAGTACAAATGAACACGCAAGCAGTGGTGAATCAGGCATGTGCAATTAAAATGATTGTGAAAGTAATACCCTTGAGAAAATGTCTCACGTCATCTAACACTGCTACTGCAGCGTTCCAGTAGGATACCCATTGAGTCTACTTGCTGGGATGTTTGGATACAATACGGGAATTCAACAGGCAGCAGCACTATAAAGCTGAGCTTGCACACTGACTCTCATTCTTCAGAGAGGCAAAGTGCCCACATGACTTGTGATAGAACATACTTAACTGAAAACGATTTTAGGGTGTCAGCACAACTGGGTGCTCCTGTTGAATATATTCAAGATTAAATCTGACATAATTTAGTATGAATACAACAGCTGCTGAGCAGAACTAAACATTCCTTTGACATAATATTATCTGCTACAAAATATGGGCAGGCCTCTAAGTGCAGATCAATGTAAAGGCTTCAGTTTCAAAGCTTGAAATATTTATACAGCAGATTGCCTTTTCCTCCAGATAATTTATTTAAGATCTCTCATAACTCAGGCATTTTGTCCTACCCTTTTCATAGGAAAACGCATATATTTTGACAGCTCATTCAGGAGTCTGCTGGCTGATTTGTACAAAATAAGATTCTCTATACCTACATACCTCTTACGTACATAACAAAACATCACGTCCTATATCTTCCACGCTTCCTGCCAAGATGCTGATTGCGAGTAAAAATATGGATTAAGGATGAAGCTACTGTGTAGCAAACAGGAGTCAGTGCAAATATGAATGCATAAGTGAAGCACAGGAGTATTTTATCACAAGGTATGGTATCTGATTTCAAAGGGAGGGCTTTTAGGAACGACAAAAGAATAAGGACAAAAGTGAGAGACAACCACTTTTTTTTACCTTTTTTTTTTTTAAGAAAAGATGTTATTACATTTTACAAATGAGCTACAGAAAGACATGACTGGAAGAATGAAAACAGCAGTGAGCCTGAGGTAGAGTATCTGGCAGCAGCACAAAACACAGTTCGGTGCCAGTGATCTCACTGTGACTCACATGTCTGGACACTTTGGGCCACAAACAACAAAAACAGATACTTTGAAAACACTAAAAGAAGCTAGGAAAAACAGCATGCATATGGAAGGGATCAGTTAGGAGGCAGAATCCAAGAATCCTTTTCATACTATAAATCAAATGGACACGGACCTTCTCCTTGATTTTAAGAACTTACAAGCAAATTAATCATAAAATCATTTAGGTTGGAAAAGACCCTCAAGATCATTGAGACCAACTGTAAACCCAACACTGTTGTCCACCACTAAACCATGTCCCTAAGTGCCACATGTCTTAAATACCTCCAGGTATGGTAACCCCATCACTTCCCTGGGCAGCCTCTTTGTGAGAGACCTTATCCTGAGTTGTCTCAAAGCTTGCTGACAATATTGTGAAACTTCCTGGTGGCCTGGCAGCAGGGATTGCCTGCAGGCCTGAATGGATAAGGGCCAAATGGCCTGCCAAACAGATGCAAATAGCCTCTGGAGACCAGTTCTGAGCAAGGAACAATGACATTGCTTCATGGGGGGTCCAGACACAGAGGACCCCCAAGCCTGCCAAAGCAGGCAAGTGGTCATGTAGTGGTCCCGTGCACCCTATGGGATCAGCTGCCTAGCCTGAGAGCGAGGCAAGAGCCAGCAAAAAAATACCATATAAAAGACTGAGACCAAACCGCGAGGAGGGACCCTCCCCACCGAAGACTACAAGACTACGGACCAACAGGAGGCTGCTGGATCCATGGCGGTGACTATCTCTTGCAATTCTATCCCAACTGCTTGCTAAATTTTCTCTCTTTTTTGTTTAGTCTCTCTTCTATCTCTATTTTCTTACAACAAAAATAAAGTCCTTTGTTAGCAGCATCTGACCCTGTTTGTGTCTTAATCTTACTCTGGGTATAACAACGAATCTCTCCCTTCCCGGGATAACCAGGCCAGGAGACTCTTCCAACACTTGACAGCCCTTTCCTAATATCCAATTTAAACATTCACACAGCTTGAGGTCATTTCCTTTTGTCCTATCGTTTGTTCGCTACTTGGGAGAAGAAACGCATACATCAAGGCTTAGATCTTTTCCCTCTGAAGCAAGTCTCCATACTACCTATACACTGTGCTATTCCTTGAATCATGTCCAGGCACTGTCAGGGAGAATTATGGTTAGCTGAGGTCAAAATCTGCCAGGGAGAGTGTTAACAACTGAACACTACGCACGATCGCAGAATGCACATAGTATGGTATAATTTACTATTCCATACTAGCACTGAGTATTACTAATTCCTAATTGGAATATTAATACAGACAGACATACGCCTAATGGACATTTCAAAGTTTAATCAGTTAAGGCTCCAGCTGACGGAGAGAACACGCTTTTCCTCTAGCTGTCTTCAACATAACTACACAGCACCTTTGATTTCCTTATAAATGCAGCTGCAGTATTTCTTTAATAGGATGTAAGAGGTGTAAGGGAGTATGTTTACTGAAATTCAGCCTCATGCAAAATTAAAGAATGCATTTTCTATATGTAATATACTTCCACAGAGTTTTGATGCATCAACTATTCTATTCTAACTGATTATGCATTTCTACTCAATTACATTAAGACAGAAAGTTCTCTATCAGTGTGAATTGAAATCAAGGTCAATGTTAGAAATATTAAAGGATTATAAAACTGCAAAAAAGAACAACAGGAATATTTCTTGCACATAAGGAAAAAAAAGCACTCTTCTATACAATCATGATTAAATTAATAGGGAACAAGTCAGACACTGTAAATGAGAGGAAAATTACTACTGAGCAAAAAACTTCCTTCCAGAATACACATGTACATAAAA